TATCTATCTATCTATCTATCTATCTATCTATCTATCTATCTATCTATCTATCTATGATCATCATCATTGTTTAAAAAGCAGAGTAGATAGGGAGAGTCTTGATTAACTTACAGACTAACATCACAATCCGTCAATACCTTCTATTCTAAACAATATCTATTTTAAAATGTCAGGTACATTATTACAGAAGATTTGCCTGTCCACTGTCGGCTGACGGTGAGCGCTTTGTTTTTACCCCCACCATCCTCCCATCCACCCCCTCCATCCCCACATCCCCACCCTTCCAGCGTTTTTGATTACACACCATCCCCTTCGGTAGCCTGAATTCCTGAAAAAAAATCTTTTAGTTATTCCCGCGTATTTCTGTGTACCAAGAAGTTGGAATCAAGCCGCAGTTGACTTTGCTGGGGAACTTCCGTGACATCCATCGTCTCGCCTGTGACTTATCGAAAATGGACTCAAAGTAGGTAAGTTCCATCTTTTAAACAACCTTACGGTGTGGTGAAAAGGTGTGAATTAATACCATCCTAGGTGTCATTTAGAGACTTAACTTCTATTAAAAGTATTTCTTTGTCCTGTATACCTTCACACACGTCTTCACTTTGTCTCAAACAAACAAACAAACAAATCAAACAAACAAACAAACAAAATAAAAACAAAACAAATAAATAAAAATACAAACAAACAAAGTTACAAAAACACAAACAAAAACACAACAAGAACAAACAAACATTTATCAAAACAAACGTCCATCCAATTGTTTGGTACTCACTCCGGACTCCGGTGTCTTCCCAGAGATCTGGCCAGTGGCCACAAAACGTCCGTTAGGATGGACAGTCAAGCTGAGGAGATCACAGAAAGCAATAAATTAATAATATATAATAATAGATAACATTTGTATTGCACAAATCCCCGCTTAATAGCAAGGTATATGCGCTTCACAATCTATACTATTACCCCAGCAGACCCGAGAGCATTCTGAAACAACCTCAACTTCCAGTGCAAACAGCCATTTATAGGCGCTAAAACACTAACATACTGACAAGATCTTTCACTGTCTAAGGCCGGGTAGCCATTCTCACCTCTGTGAAGTGAGGAAAATTCGTGTAAAGTGCCTTTTCCAGGGACACAACGTCGGGCCCGCGGCTCGAACCCCCGAACACTCAATTACAAACAAATTTTTAAAAAAGAGAGAAAAAAAAAGAACATAACAAAAAGATCAATAACCAACCTAACTGAGCAAAACAAGGTAAAAGTACTTTATAGTCCAGAAAATTTGAAAATAGAAGAAAGGGTGGTTTCGGCAGAGCACTGGATATCAAGCTAACAAAAAAAGAAGACCTTTTTGTTTATTATGAGCTCCTTTACGAGTGGGCATTTCTCACGGCAGCCTTTACACCCCCAAACTAACAAACAACGAAACAAACAAACAAGCAAAGGAACAAACGAACAAACAGACAAACAAGCAATAACAAACGACCCCAATAATAAGAACAAAATGAAAAACAAAGACAACCCCCCCCCCCATCAAGTAAAACAAAGCAAAAAAAAAAAAAAAGACCTCCAAAAATCTTCTTCTCTCAAATCAAAGAACAAAACCCTACCCTCTCAAACGCCGTAAAACTTCCATGTAATCTCAATCCCCCAAAGAGCCCCCTGTCCCCACACAGACATACCACTTACCAGGAGATTTCCTCCGAGTGCCCCAGGTAATGTTTCTGGGTGGCAAACTTCTTGTCATACACAACCACGACTGCGGCGACAAAGTAGACCAGCTCGCCGCTAGAGGGCAGCACCGAGAGATTTTGCTTGACGTCACGACCTCTGAACCCATAGCTGAACTCAGGGTCAAGGACAAACGTTAACGAGAAGGTCAAATATGGCGAACTATGACTGTTTGTTTCATGATAAAAACTCAGACAGGAGTGTTAATATTGGGAAAACAAGGACACGGAAATAGAAAAAAGGTTCTTGAACCCAAATATACTTGTATGACAGTGTAGAAATCATTAAATATTTAAAAAAACATAATTTGTGTGTGTGTGTGTGTG